TTACAAATAGTTTTTAGAGAAGCCCTGGATACAACCCACACACAGGCTATTATGCCTAGGTATGTTGTACTCAGAGAGCAACTCTAACCCCATTTTTGTAAAAAAAAAATAAAATGTAATATTTTTGTACATGGAATACTTGAATAAACTTGAAACTTGAAACTTGATAAGTATACAGCTTGAAGATCGGATACGTCAGTGCCACATGCCGGCATATAAGGCTGGACCTTCTGGTGCCTAGATGAGGCCGCTTTTTCAATGCGTTCCAGAGTGTTTTCTATCATAGACACATCCTAAGATGAAAGGGTGGTTAATGATACTCGACATAATACATATCTACTCTGTATCTCACCTTAACTTGAACTACTATTCCTTCTTGCGCCTCAGTGATAGAAAATTTCCATAGTTTTTTCCACGCTGATTCTGCTTCGTGGTGGTATAAATTTTGTAATAACCTCCTGCGGTATATTCCAGGATAATAGGAGGTCTTCTATTGTTGTACACATAATGATTAGAATTACACGATGCGAGGAATATTTTCCATATATTTTCACAACTGGAAGTGGAAAGACGAAAACAGTAAAACACTCATATGTGACCTTGCACTGACTAAATGTAAATGAGCTGTGGCACGCGTCTGCCGATTCCCCTTCCATTTCTTACAAGGAATTCACGGACTCAAGAGCTTCATGCTCTTGGGATATTAGAGGGAAAATCGAAAACCGTTAAAATGATTTTCATCCAAAAGCATTCAATCTCCTTTCAAAACCAAATAGCAATACTAATTTTGGTTGAAAATATTGACTTATCTTGAATTCAAAAATATGATGTACTCAAGGTGAGAACACTTGACTTTGCATCAAAAACAATGATTTTCAACAGAGACCATACGATAAAAGAAGAATTATTTTCGTTCAAACGCAGTCGTATGCTTGCTTCAAGAAATTGATTTTGATTTGAAGTCATCTATGGTTAGATTGAAGTCAGTATCCTTAAATCATGATGGCATTAAATCCAAGAGTAAATTTTTTTGTGTGCTAACAGCATGTCAACTTGCTGGTTGAAAGAAAACTTCCCGTTTATTTTAAAAACACTCAAACAACCATTACTCAATTGAACAACTCACTTGCCTCATTGTCAAGTTTGACGTTCATTTTCAAAGCCAACTTTTGAATTTTCGATGATTTTAAATAACACACCTAGAGCGCGCGTTTTCAGTTATTCGAGTTTATGATAAAAATGATGAGGTTTTTCGAAAAATCACTAGAGTAAAGAAAGTTTCAGAATTGAATTGTCCACAAAAGAAAGCAAAGAATTTTGAAATCCATCGAAGGTTAACAAAATTATGTCGAATATTAATGGTGCGCCACCCGGTATATCCCCTTTATAAATTTCAATTAAACTCTAGTTACTGTCAAGTAACGCCCCAAATACATCCACAAAGTGTACCAAATTTGGTTGCTTTAAAGTCAAGGATAACAAAGATATTGATTTTTTTCAAAATTTATAACTTCACTTTCAAAGCCTATATCTCCTTAGGGAAGCAACTTGGTATAGAGGTAAGTTGTGTTAAATTGTCATATTTTGGGACCCCCTACATGCCCCTGCTCTATGTCGATTCCTATGTGAATCACCCTGTATAGATAAAAGAATAAAAACCGATAAAAACAAATACTTGCGAATACACTGAATGCAATTGGATCACAATATAAATAGACCCTGTTGAGCATCATGAATCTATAAATTATTAATAGGTGAATAATATACACTCCATGGAGGCGCGGGGTATACAAACTTCTATAAATATCAAAATCACTGTCACTTAAATTCTAACTTGTTTTTTGAATTTATCTATTCACAATTTCATCTGTAATTTCAATATACAGGGTTTATTTTCAATATAACAATTTTAGTAATATAATGAACAATGCTGAATATACAAGGTGAATGTAGCAATGCACCTTATATACAATGCGGAAATGGAAATCTGAATAAATAAAAGATATTCATATTTCAGTGATAGTATATAGTGGAAAAATTAGTATATATATATACCTATTATATGTACACTTCTCACCCTATAGGTGTATAATATACTATTTCTCTTATTATATCATTTCAATTAGAGAGATCACATACAAAAAATACTTAACAAGAAAAATATCAATGAATGCAAATTGCGAACTCAAAAACACGCGAAATAATTCATACTCGAATATATATATAGGTATATGAGGAAAACAACAACCAGCTCATTGATAAATGTGTCTTTGAAATGCAGCTCATTTCAACAAAAAAATACGTTCATTTTTAATTTTGCTTTCTTCCATTGAATTTCAGTGTTTTGCGCTTTGTTATCGAACTCTTATACCTATCGAACTATATATCGTTCATCGCATGATGAGTAACAATTAAAACTGAAATACAATTCAGTTTGAGTCAGCCTCACATTATCACAATCGCACAATAGATATGGATCCCCATGGAATTCAAAGTTATAACTATTGAGACTTGTCAGTTATCATCAGTTATGCATGATCTATAAATAGGTATAGGTATGGGCGACTAGAACTAAAATTTTCTACCAAAAAATAAAATTAACCTACATAGGGAAAAATATTGAAGTGGAAATTAACAAAATATCACTCCGAATATGACTATAAAGAATTCGCTCAATTAATATACTGTTTCTTACGTAATCGTTGGGTATAGGGATCCTGAAATTTGCTGGGAGCGAGAGAGAGAATAGTATAGTAGTAGAAAAAGCGAAAAACAACTGAATTCTCCATACTAAATTTGGTGATTCCAATGTAATTATGTACCGGTAAAACTCATCCAATCTGGCAAAGAGTCTATATTTTCTAGATAGATTTTATACTCAGATAGGTGTGCCTAATACTTTGATTTCACAAGAGATGATGAAATCACAATTTGTGAAGGTGACATAATTGTGTTTTTCTCATTTTATATATCAACACTTCCAACTCATCGTGAAATTACTATATATTCACAACAAAGAGGGAAATCACATATGATGCCAGTCAACTTCTTAATATGCTCATACTCATTAGCTATGACTGATTGAAATACCTATATAAGCATAAAAAAATATAAAAGCTTGGACTTTAATTTTCTCCTTTACTATATATGTGATATATTTCAGTTTCTTCATCGTCTGTTTATATAAATTCACATGAACATGAATGGTCTAGACTTTGGATAACTCACAATAATTTGAGTACGTATCAAGTTCACTTTTTCACGAAGAGTAGCGATGGTGAACCTCTTAAACCTAATACCTTTCCGCACATTATATGCCCTGCAAAAGGAAGCTAGGATGAGGATGGTTTCCTATAGATCACCGCATGTTATTGGAAGAGGTCGACTATTGGATTACTCTGGCATATATACTATGAGTGAAATAAACTCTAGGAATGGTGCCTGCTGGTAACTTGGTTACTCAAACACACGCAAGAAAGTCTCTCAAAGTCCTCTTCCCGAAGAAAGACGAGTGGGAAAGAGGGTAAACCCAATTCACATATAGACCGAACACTTAAGTAATATATGTTCATCGATGGTTCGAAAAGCCTGTTGGGTAATTCGAGCCATCAGTGTCAGTATGTTCAGCAGACAATCGAAGACAAAAATCTCAGCTAATCTCGGCAACTATACTTATAGCTACTATATACAGTCTGTCAGGCGGAAGTCTTCGCAATTGAATTGTATGGAAGAGAGTTGGCTAATAGACCTCTAGTAAACATCAAAAACATCAGTATTGTATCTGACAGTCAGGTTACTATCAAAGCACTGATAGCTCCAGCAAAATACATTCCAAGCTCGTTGATAACTGTATTGGATCCCTATAGTCACAGATGCATGGATGCTAACAACTGAATTACTTTGCACTGGGTGCTCTATTACCAGGGGAGAGAGAGAAAGCAACGGGAAATCCGACATCTTCAACCTCAACAAACAGGAAACCAAACCTGTATTCATAGAACAATCAGAAACATACTTTGGTGTTAGGGAAAAAGACTCACATACCTATACTGGTCTGAATTACTAGGATTGACACATTCGATTGCGTTCCCGCATATATAAACCAATAAACCTTCAACCTAGATCCTAGAAGGGAGCAGGAGTAGCCTGTGAATTCTGAAAGGACTGCTTATGAGTCACTGTCTTATGGTACGATACCATCAGCTGTAGGCTCATAGAGACTTTGAGGTTCAACATACCTATATACTTACTCGGTTTTGGTATATCACCAATTTAGAACGATTATTGATTTCAGGAAAATAACACCTCATTCAACCAGGAATTTGTGAAGAGAAGTGGATTGTTATACAGAGTGAACTGAACTTTCTAGGAAGGAGCCACAATAGACCAATCTGTGATCGTGGTCGAGGAACCTAACCTGAACAAACCTGAGTATATAGGTTTACTTTTTTGATACTTTGAAATACCTATATATGAATATGATGAAAGGTATTAGATGCGTATATGTATAAGAATAGGTAATTGGTGATGGTTCAAAGCATATCAAGAAAAACAAACAGAGCTGACCATCAAGAGTAATTTGGACAAGCTTTCGAAAAACTTGGTAGGTATCGTATAGCAAATACCCAATACGACAATACCATTACGCTAATGGTATAAACATGCTTCCGAAAATAACACTTTCCATTCAATAGCCCATTAACGATTCACCATAGCCAAAGAGTACCCGACAAGTAGGTACTTTCGCTAATAAAGTGCTTGTTTACAAAATAATAGATAGCAAATAACAAAATATCCAAGTCATCCCCATAAACTCTATAATTTCCACTTATTCCTTCCAACATGCGCAATGGGAGGCAAACGATAAAAACCGTGGGCGGGGCCTATAACAAATGGCAGCCCCACCTATTGGTTGTCGGGTTTCTGATCCTCCCATGTCGGCTTTTGACAGAAGGGGAACCGGTGATTTTCCGCTGTTCCCCTTCTGTGAAACAGTAAGCAATGTGATTTCAACAATAGTAGTTCAAAACGACCTTATCAGTGCGACCCTGTGCGATTGTTAACGTGATTACCAGTTGTTTTGTTGATGTTTTCTGATAAGAGGTGACTTTACCAGTGTCGATAACATGCTTACCGATATGACGCCTACTGCTGGGCAATTTTATGGGGCCCAGATACCAGCGATGACTATGAATGTCAAAACTGCTGTAAGTACCTCATGTTAACCTCTTCATAATTCGAGTATCAAAAAATTATCCTTCTTTTTTCATTATTATTATTATTATTATTATTATATCAAGTTGCTACGGAAGTGTCATCATCATCAGATTGTTGATTTCCATAAGTATACCTACGTATACATACCTACACAGAGAAAAACGTTTCTTTGCGTGAAACAATCTCATTTGTTTGACTTATATTTGTTTGCAAGAAATAAATGTTATTTGCGAGAAACAATTGTTATTTCTTAAAACCAAATCAAATTCTTTGTTTGAAATCATCGGTTCATTTGAATGACATTTGTTTGGGTGAAACAATAGCATTTGTTGAAAATATATTTATTTCGAAGAAATAAATGTTACTTGGAGCAAATAAATATTATTTTGAACAGAAATATCACATTGTTGGCGAAAAATAATTTTGATATGAATATGAACAATTGATATAGTTGTCATGCACAAACAAAAAATTTGTATTTAAAAAATATAATTTGAAATGCGCTTATTGAAATTACATTATGGAATTGTTCTTTTGAATGACAGCACAATTCATAACAAAATATAGTAATTTTTGGTCCAAATCAAATATTGCTTTGATTATATGCGCTTGTTTTTGTTGTGTAGTCGAATGTTCGCATGATTGGGAAAATGAGAATCCATATCCAGAAAAAGTCAAAACAACTGACTTATTTTCTTCTACCAAGGTTAAATCGACGATGCCCATGACTGAAAAAATCACCAAACCAAAACTTAAAGTCTTAATTATTGTTCAGTTCGGTGGCGTGACTTGTTTCTATAATATCCAAAATCAGGGTTGCCAGATCTGACAACAAATTAGGCGCTTTTGTCTTTGGGTCGTCAATGGCTTTTTGACATGATTTCAAGAATTGATGTTTCATGGATGGATCTCCTGCAAACCCAACATGGAGTTGTATCTTTACTCGAGCTGAATACCTATTCTGGACATGACCGATACGCAATTTGAAGCAAAATTTTGAACTTGAAATGCTCGGTCATCAAGTATTTTTGAAAAACGGGTAAACGTCCAGTCAGCAAACTTTAATTTTGGTCTTCGAATTATATTTCCCTCACCTTTGGACTCGCCTGGCACCTACTTCTCATCAAAACCGTCTGTCAATTCGTATCTTTTTTCTACAATGTCTAATTGACATCATAATATAATTTCAGGTTTACAGCGGCAAGTTAATTTCTCAAATCATTTATACACTTGAAAAATTAAGGACATGCAAGGGTTAGACCTTCATCCTTTGATTCATCACTATAAAAATTTCCTGTCATATATACAGATAATATGAAAGGTTCACGAGCTCTCCGGCTCCATCTGGCAACCCTGTCTGAAACGTATACAACTACCAGACCCGCCAGAACGCATTCGTTTTGTATCTCTGATGATGTGGTTTGCCGGGTCGTATCGTACAGTGGTGATTTAGTATAGTTAATTCTAATTCCACAGCATATTTACAGATTTTCACTATTCTCTTAATGTGTAGTGATGGATTTTTCAGAAGAATGGCATTTGGGTCATCTGGTCCCAATTTCCAGAGGTAAGGAATTGTAATTCATACTTGAAAATCGGAATAATGGCGTGAAATTTTTTATGATTTGTTGATTATCTGATGTTTTCATACCGATCTCCATCAAAAAGACAAACCGTGCAATTTGGTAGGTCATAGAAGGATGTACGAATAGGTAGGTAGGTATATGTGTGATATTTCGTAGATAAGTATACTTTCTAATCTGCTGTATATTGAAATATTCCAGTGAAATTGCGTTCAAATTCTTTCATGATTTTCAATGGAAGATTCCATGCAGTCAAATAAATATTTCTTCAATTCAAATGTCACCAGCTTCACTTGGAACAAAATATTTGTTTCCATGAAACAAATGATAATTAGTATGTTTGATTCTATGTTAGCATCTTCGGGAGAATATTAAAACTCAGGAATCACCCCTTGAATTTTTTCGGTGTTATTTAGATATATCCCGTATAAGTATTTTGAGATATCATGTAACAATATAGAGAACATAATCACTAGAACAAAAATTATCACAGCTCTTTTCTTCATATGAAAAATTGTCATCAATGCACTTCGATGTTATAGAATTTTTATTTCCTTGTTATGCATATATTTCATCTATTCCCGCATTAAAATATACTAAACTTTCAGGAGAGCAATAAGAAATCTGCTACGTCTGTCATTGATGTGAATACTCCAGTGATTTCCGAAAACATTTTTATTGATGCTGATGCACCGGATGATAGAGCCGATGATCCACCTGCCAAATATTTGAGGTTGGATACAAATAACAGCGATCAACCTGCTTCAGGATCATCATGTATCTTGACTTATGTAGTATTGAACCCAAACAGTGTGCCTGTCACAATTTTTCTATTATTCAATAAAGTTTGTTGTAGTTCAATTTTGTTGTTAATTCTCAATTCCTTCCAAGAGGAGTATTGTTTTCTAAGAAATGAATTCCTTCTTAGGAAGATTCTATTTCTTTGAGTTTATTAATTTTTGATTTCATTCAAATCAACAATTTATTTCTGGTAAGGGAATCCATTATTTGAGCTTGTTTCTTCCAAACAATTTCCTTGTTTTTCTCAAGCATTGACATCTTTGAATCAAATTACATTTACATATATTTATTTTTCACAAATAATCATTTGTTTCTTCCAAAGAATGTTCTTGTTTCTGTCAAGCTCTGATTTCTTTGAAACAAATTTCATTTACATATATTTATTCTTCACAAATAATTATTTATTTTTTCCAAATAATTTCCTTGTTTCCCTCAAGCTTTCATTTCTTTGATGCAAATTATACTTATTCACTATGAATAATTCTGATCATGAATCCAAAGAAATAGTTTTGATTCAAACAAATACACACTTTCTTCCAAATTATGAATCATATCATTTTCAATAAATTATATAGATACAAAAAAATCGCTTATTTGAAAAATCAAAAGAATGGAAACTTTGATTCAACCAAGCTTGTTTGTTGGACCTATTCAAACTTCGGATTTCTTTGAATTTAACAATATTTGTTAAATTCAAAGAATTGTTTTTCTCTGTGTATTGCTCCATTGTTTAGATTATGTGTCTCAAAAAGGGAGTGATTATTTCAAAATTGATATATTTTCGCATTCAACATCAAAAACCAATTTGCACCATTCCCTTACGCCCAGATCGAACATTCAAATTAGAATATTATGCCTATACACCTGCCTATGATAGTTATCTTCAACTTTATATAGAACTATAATAGCAACAAGTACAGATAATATCCAGCTTCCATCTTCCTCCATAATGTGATGCAGAACTCATGTCTTCTTCTGAGTCTACTTCATTTGCAACTGAATTGGATGATAAAATCCAAAAATTCACAAACATTTTCATCTCCCTCATGGAACACTACCTCATCCATTTGTATGATACCTCCTGCATCTAGACCATTGGGGTGTACCTATGTAGATACCAAGTTGGTTTATTCCATCAAATTATGTTGTTCAAATTAATTGGATTGATGAACCAGCAGCCGAAACAAATAAGAAACTGGGATAAGTATAGGTGGATATTCAACTTTTTTAAATCCTATCCAATGACCTATACTAGTCACTTCCTGATGGGTCTATCGATATGTATACTGAAGATGTCAAGCTAATTGGTTCAGTTCAATTATTCATACTTACTAAAATTCATGTGTTTATTTTTAATATACCTACTAGAATATGTACCAAATTCTTTTTGCTATATCGGAAAAAGATAAAACGAATATGATATTTTCATAACACACTCAGCTCATTCCTCAACTCGTTCTTTCATATCGTGTTACTCTCACTACCTACCTATATAGAGAAATACTAAATAGATGATTATGTTCCCTCAACTGATGGAGAAAGGTTTCATCAAATATTGATGATCAATTTGGATTGATCTTGCATCCATCCGAACTTGACACTTAATTATTTATCGTTTGTTAATGTCATTACCTATATTAAGAAGGAGTTGTTGTTCCCATCATATTATTATTCTAAGCTGCCATATCGAAGCATTTGATATCAAGTGGAGACCATCATGAAAGTTGAAGTATGGTAATATCTCAATTGGATATTATGCAAGTTGTTTTGCTGGATACCTACCTATACTCGAAAATTTCAAAAACTGCACAAATCTTCTACCTGTCAGTAAACAAACTCATTGTAGTCCTGTTTGTTCATCTACAGTCCATTGTCGAGGAACCCTTGTCAATGGAATGCGTCCATTGTGAGTTGTGAAAGGAAAAGTAACTAAGCTACTTATCGAAATCTCTGAAGAGAGGTACTCCAAGATGAACTTGAGAGTGGGTACACTTGAATTCACTAGTGGGAGATTAGGTTCATTTAGAGAATGTTTTTACTGATTTGTCACGATTCGGCTTTAAACATCTGGAATTTTGGCGCCTCGTTATGGATGCTCAGATTTATTGTTTCTTCATTCGAAATGGATGTGGAGATAGATAGGTACTTGTTCATTTTAGTTGAAGCAAGATGAATACATCATTATGAACATAGATATATAATTATACTGAAAAAATATTGGATGCAATGTATACGAGTTTGATTAGACTGATGGTTAATAATTTATTCCATCAATCAAACAAGAAGATATATATACTGTTTCTGTATACCTACTTATATCTTCTGTCAAATTACTTAATATAACTGAAAATCTTTTCCAAATATTCTTTATAACTTTTGTTAAGGCGGGCCTTTCGCGACAGCTTTCCGACCGAATATAGCCTATATATATATACTAGTTCAACAACTATTTCTAGGTGTCAGTGTGATGTCGAAATCCGAATAAAATAATTGAATTACAGCTTTCACAGCTATTGTAGAGTTCTTCGATTTCGTCTGTTACAGCAGGTCACCAATAGGTGGCACACAATTGAATGCAATCGTAGGTAATTGTATTATGTACGTGC